GAAGCAGCCAAAATGCGGAAACAAAGAAACAAGTCACAAATGAAAGAAATGGATGAAAGCAAAATACTGGATATAGAGTTCAAAACTACAGTTATAAGGTTACTCAAGAATCTTTTAGAAACCTCAGAGAAATTTAGTGAGATCCTCAAGAATACGAAAAAGGACCAATCAGAAATTAAGCATACACTGACTGAAATAAAGAATAATATACAGAGATCCAACAGCAAACTAGAGAATCCCAAGAATCAAGTCAAAGATTTGAAATATGAAGAAGCAAAAAACACCCAACCAGAAAAGAAAAAAGAATCCAAAACTATGAAGATAGTGTAAGGAGCCTCTGGGACAACTTCAAGCATGCTAACATCTGAATTATGAGGGTGCCAGAAGAGAGAGAAAATGATATTGAAAACCTATTTGAAGAAATGACAGATAACTTCCCCTACCTGTTGAAAGAAATACTTAAAGTATAGGAAGTGCAGAGAATCCCAAACAAGAGGAATCTAAAGAGGACCACACCCAGACACATCACAATGACAAGGGTAAAAGACAAAGAGAGGATCCTAAAAGCAGCAAGAGAAAAACAATTGTAGAGGGTCCTCTGGGAATTAATGTCAGCTGAACTCAAGGCAGAACCACGCACTGGGAACATGTTTCCCCAAAATGTGGGAGACTAATTCCTAGGAATGAGGGAATGAATAGGATCTGGATTCCTTTGATTCTAAACTTTTCAGGGAAACCTCCTTTAATTCTAAGCTTTTGCTTCCAACCAAAACTCCTTTGATTCTAAGCTTTTCAGGGAAACCTCCCTTTACCCTTTTGGAAATAAATAAATGCGCTGTGTTGACTGTGGTGGGTGTTGACTGTCTCTCCATCAGAGTGACAGCCCCCCACCCAGGTCCCACCTTGAATCTATTTCTGCCTTCTGATCTCTTTTTTTCTTTAATTTCTTAATCCCCAGCTCCTCCACTCAGAAACCTGTCGTTTTCCGTGCGGGTCGCGGAAAACAGAGAAACAGCCCCCACAGTTAGTTACCTACAAGGGAGCACCCATACAACTGTCAGCTGATTTTTCAACAGAAACTGCATGCCAGGTGGGAGTGGCAAGAAATATACAAAGTGATGAATAGCAAGAACCTACAACCTAGCAAAGCTATCATTCAGAATTAAAGGTCAGATAAAGAGCTTCACAGACAAGAAAAAAATACAGGAGTTCATCACCACCAAACCAGAGCTATATGAAATGCTGAAGGGTACTCTCTAAGAAGAGGATGAAAAAGGTAAAGATAAAAATTATGATCAACAAATACATATCTATCAATAAGTGAATCTAAAAATCAAGTGAATAAAAAATCTGAAGAACAGAATAAATTGGTGAATATAATATTGATAGAATCAGGGGCAGAGAAAGGGAGTGGACAGACAATTCTCTGAGGGAAGGGGGTGTGGAGGGTGCGGAAAGAGACTGGACAAAAATCTTACACCTATGGATGAGGACAATGGTGAGGACTAAGGGCATGCTGGGGGGGGGGGGGGGGAGGACTGTGTGGAAAGGAGCTATTGGGGGGGAAAAGAGAAACTACTATAATAATCTGAACAATAAAGATTTATTCAAAAAAATGTATACTAAAAAAATACCAACATGATATGGGGAAGAAACAAAGGTGAGCAGTCCAAATGAAATTGGCCATGAATTGATAATTTTTAAAATGTATGATAGAAAAAGGAACCCTCGTGCACTGCTAGTGGGAATGCAGACTGGTGCAGCCACTGTGGAGAACAGTGTGGAGTTTCCTCAAAAAACTGAAAATGGAACGCCCATTTGACCCAGTAATCCCACTCCTAGGAATATATCCCAAGAAACTAGAAACACCAATCAGAAAGGATATATGCACCCCTATGTTCATAGCAGCACAATCTACAATAGCCAGAATTTGGAAACAGCCTAGGTGCCCATCAGCAGATGATTGGATCAAAAAACTTTGGTACATCTACACAATGGAATACTATGCTGCCATAAAAAGGAAGGAATTCTCATCATTTGCAGCAACCTGGATGGAATTGGAGAACATCATGCTGAGTGAAATAAGCCAATCAATGAAAGAGAAACACCACATGGCCTCACTCATTTGTGGATAATAAAAAACATTATAAACTGATGAACCAAAAGATAGATATAGAAACAGTAAAGCAACAAGCAGACTGTCAAATTACAGTGGGGAAGGGAGGGAGTTCTGGGGGAGATAATAGATCAACCAAAGGACTTGTATGCATGCATATAAGTACAACCAATGGACATAAAACTCTGGGGAGGGAGGCATGCATATAAGTACAACCAATGGACATAAAACTCTGGGGAGGGAGGGTATGTATGGGAAGGAGGGAGGGGGGCAAAAAAAATCAATAAAATATATTTTAAAAAATAAAATAGAAGAGAGAGAAAAAATAAAATGCATGATAAAATTATAGTCATCTCTCTATTTTTAAACATGTTTGAAAGCTATTGTAACAAAAAGCAGAATAAATTAATGAGTGGGTAAGTAGGTAGGTACGAAGTCAGGCTGGCAAATGTATGGGGCAGATCTAATATGTTCAGGTCTTTAGTCCTTTGAACACAATTCTGAAACCTAAAAAAACTTTAAAAATAATGTCTGTAATTAATTGAATAGGCAATCTAAACTGAATTGACATAAGATACACATTCACTGCAAATATACAGGGGTGGGCAAAAATAGGTTTACAATTGTGAATATGCAAAACACAGTTTATTCTAGTGTTATTAATTTATTCGTATTTTTCCATATGAAAAACTGTAAACCTACTTTTATCCACCTCTTTATATAAATGTGATTATGGGATATTCCCTCAAATGTTATTTGGAATGTTACTTAACTTAACTGATTTAAAAAGTATCTATTGCCCTAACCGGTTTGGCTCAGTGGATAGAGTGTCAGCCTGCAGACTGAAAGGTCTCAGGTTCGATTCCAGTCAAGGGCATGTACTTTGGTTGCAGGCACATCCTCGGTGGGAGGTGTGCAAGAAGCAGCTGATCGATGTTTCTCTCTCATCGATATTTCTAACTCTCTATCCCTTCTCTCTCCCTTCCTCTCTGTAAAAAATCAAGAAAATATATTCTTTTAAAAAAACAACAGTAGCTATTGTTAGAGAATAGCAACATAGGAAATTTCATTTAAATATACTTTATATTTCTGAATTGTTCCATAACTTAACAGCATGTATGTTTTAATTTTTAATTTAAAATCGAATGATTTTAGCCCTGGATGGTTAAAGCATCGGCCCGTGTCATGGGTTTGATTCCTGATTAAAAGCAAGGATCGATCTCTGGCTCCAGTTGGGGCATGTGTGGGAGGCAACCAAGCAATGTGTCTCCACCAGATTGATGTCTCTCTGTCTATTTCCCTCACTCCCTCCCTTCCACTCTAGAAACCAGTAGAGCCCTTGCTGGTTTATCCTCAGTGGATAGAGCATAGGCTTGTAGAACAAAGGTTCAATTCCAGCCAAGGGCACATGACCAAGTTGCGGGCTCAATTACCAGTAGGGGACGCGCAGGAGGTAGCTGATCAATAATTCTCATCATTGATGTTGGTTTCTATCTCTCTCTCCTTCTCCCTTCCTCTCCGAAATAAAAATATATTAAAATTAGTTTTAAAAAATAGAAATCAGTAGAAAAATATACTCAGGTAAAGATTAACAACAACAAAAAAAGTATGATTTTATAACTAAAAACAAGACTCTAAAATACATATTAAAATATACAGATTTTTTCTAAATGGCACAGCAATATTGAGGTAAAAGCAAATATTAATTCTCCCCCTCCATTAACTACACAAGCTAGGCTGACACAATAGCATCTTTTTTTTTTAATTATTTTTATTCAATTCAGAGAGGAAGAAAGAGGGAGAGATAGAAACATTAATAATAATAATCATTGATAGGCTGCCTTCTGCATGCCCCCTACTATGGATTGAGCCCACAACCCAGGCATGTGTCCTGTCTGGGAATTGAACCATGACCTCCTGGTCTATAGGTCAATGCTCAACCACTGTGCCACACCAGGCAGTCAATAGTATCTTGACTATTTTTAATACAATATCCAAAATTACATTCCCTAATTTAATAAAGACATTCAGAGAATAAGTGAACCGTATTTTAAATATCAAAACTAAATAAGGTAAATGGCCAAAGTAGTAAACAGAAAGTGCTCTTATGCATTTTCAAACTCAAATATTCATGGATTTATTCCCCCTAAATAATTATAATTAAATTTCATTGTGCCAGTTTCCTCTTTTGGCAAATGGAGATAATAAGAGTTACAATAACCTCTAGAGTGTTTTTATGAGGATTAAATGGATAACAAATGTAAAAGTTTCATGAGTGCCTGGCACTTGCTAAATACTCAATAAATATTATTGCCTTTATTATTAATGTTGTTGTTATTGTGCCTCTTAGAAGTCTACTCCAGCCCACTGCATTTGAGGATCTGTGTCAGGGAAGAAGCTCTGAAGTGTTAGCTATATTAGTTGAGAAAGGTATGCCTTAAATGATTTGGGGAACTTCCACATAGACGTTTTTATTCCAAATTAAACTTTTCAAACTTTCAAAAAAACTTTTTATCTCTGAAAAAGTTACTTAATACACTGTGTTTTGGATTCTGTGTTTATAAAATAACAAACTATAATAAAATACAAATATGTCTTAATGAAAACTGTCATATAAATGTTCATCACATTGTTTCTAAATACCAATAGTTTCATTAAACCATAAAAACAGTTATATCTTTTTAGCAAACTAGTGCCTTAATCTCTCTAGCATGAATGTATTTTCAATATGTAACCATATAGAGGAAATAGTACAACTTATAAGTATTAAAATCATAATGACTTAGAGATAATTTAGCACAATAGAGCATTCTAAAATATAACTTTGATTACAGTTAATATTATCTAATATCTACATTATTATTTTTTTATATCCATTACTTACCCTCTTTCATATGTAAATTCATCTTTCAGGGAATTAGCTGATGATTCACCAATAAAGACAGATGGTATATCAATTTTCTTTAGCACACCGACTGTACAAAACAATAATAAAATTATTCTTAAAAGCCTATACTTAATGTACAATCAACTTAATTTTCTTCTAGCATATGCAACTGGAAACAATCAACTCAAATTATATATTGGTTGATTCTCCCAATAATAGATTTATACTATCATCAAAGTGGCCGAGAAATACTATATTTAAGTAATGAAAGCTAACATTTTGCTTATATGCATTATATACTATCTCCATAGTCCTGAAAATGAAATACAATTTTTTAAAATATATTTTATTGATTTTTTACAGAGAGGAAGGGAGAGGGATAGTCAGAAACATTGATAAGAGAGAATCATCTATCAGCTGCCTCTTGCACACCCCCTACTGGGGATGTCCCCGCAACCAAGGCAGATGCCCTTGACAGGAATCAAACCTGGGACCTTTCAGTCCGCAGGCCAATGCTCTATCCATTGAGCCAAACCGGTTTCAGCGAAATATAATTATTTTTAATATTTCCATTTGATTTATCTTTTATAGACATAATTAGCTATTACAATAGAAAAGGAAGAAGAACTTAAGTTTTCTTTCCACACTTAATTCCTGAATGAAAAAGTGAAAAAACTTTTTTACATACCCATTCCCAGAAGAGGTGCAAGCCTAAGAATGTAAGAAAAGACCACTTCACACCAATCTGAAAAAATGACAGCATAGCACACATACACTTTCCAAAGTGAAAGGGTGGCAGGAATTAAGAAAGGCATAGGACAGGGAAGCTGAGTAAATTTCTACTTCCTCCATATCCTAGACTTCATGGTAAATATTTGTGTTTTGGTTGCTGTCCTAAGAAATTTGACCCTATACCTATATTACAAAACTAAAATCAAATGCCAAAAGAAAAGAAATTACCCATTACTCAGGAAGAGAAATAAAACAATCCCCTTAATGTTACCGTAGAAAAAGCAGCCTTATTTGTAGCTGTGAGTTAATTTAACAGATTTGGCTTTAGACAAAGCCCACTTGTTTTCTTTTGTAATATTTTTCCCAATAACTCTGTTCTATATTTCTTTAAAAAATTCATATTCATTATTTTTAAAGGCAGGGAGAACATAAGAAGAAAACAGAACACAGCCATAATCCTTTCCACCCAAAGACAAAGGTTTTATTTGGTAAATCTTTGGGGGTTTTTTGTTTGTTTTGTTTTGTTTTGTTTTGTTTTGTTTATAGATTTTAGAGGGAGGGAGAGGAAATCATCAATGTGAAAAACATCGATTGGCTGCCTCTTGCATGTGCCCACTGAGGATCGAACCCACAACTTAGGTATGTGTCCTGATCAGGAATTGAACCCTTTGATGCATAGGATGACACTCCAACCAACTGAGCCACCTTACCAGGGCACTTTTCTTTTGACAAATACATGTATCGATAATTATGTAGCCACCACCACAATGAAAATATAGAATGTTCTATCACCCCTCCAAATAATTCCTTTGTGCCCCCAACCTCAGCAACCAATGCCTCCAACTTCAGCAACCACTAATGTGTTTTTCTTTAATTCTAATAAAGACATATTTTAATGTTTTAAACTCTCGGTATCTCTTGGTAGGACACATTTTTTACTTCCAGATTGGTTTAAGAAAATACAATCATTCATTCCCACTCATTTTCTCTCCTCTCTATTTTTCTCTTCTTTCTTTCCCTATCACACTTTCACTTACACACACACACACACACACACACACACACACACACACACACATCATATAAGCCCCAGGAAGGCAGGAACCAAACTAGTAAGTAAAGGAATATTTAATCACTATTTTTACATCAATGGGAATAGAATTTTATTGTTACACCAACAGGATCATATAATAATGGGGCATAGTGTACGCTTTTCTTTCACTCAGTGATAAACTTCAGAGATCCTGTCATGTCAATGAAGATCTACCCCATCGTTTTAATAGCTGGAGAGGTACTGATATAATCATATACACTTTAATGAAAGTATTTTCTAGCTAGCTAAGAGATCTTCCTCTATCACACAGTTGACAATTTAATTTATTTGATAATTAAAACTTGAAATTATATATCCTTTGTAAAAGGAATGTTTTACTCTTTTATTAAGATACTCTGATACACTCAAAGAGAAACTTTTGAGTTGTAACTACTGGCTTATAATTATTGCAAGTAACATAACATCTTTGATTTATACCTAAAGAGATGTTAAAAGCTTCTCATTTTATTAATAGTTAGAAGATTAAGAAGAGGGACAATGATGTATGCAAATATGAAAAGCCATATTGGAGACTCTGCAACACTATCTACTAAAAACATGTTCTAGTTCACAAAATATTTTTAGAAACACTAAATTTTAATTCTGATCCACAAAATAATTCCATGAAGTACACACAGCAAATAGTATTATTATGATATCATAGACAAATCATACTTTACATGGCCAGCCCTAACTCTCCAGATTCTCATATCCAATTGCCTATTTGATATGTTTACTTGATTGCATAACAGATGTTTCAAATTTATTATTTTCAGTTGGTATTCTCATGTTTCTATTTTACTCCCAGTCTTTCTCATTTCCATAAATAGCAAACCCATTCACCTACTTTCTCAGAGTAAATATCTTGGAGTCATCCTTGACTCTCCCCTTTTCTTTATTCCTTATAACAAAATGAGTCCATAATTCTATCACTTCTCTACACAATCACTCCAACACTCCAGGTCATGATCACCTCTTCCTTGCTGCTGCAGCAACATTCTAACTCACATCTGCTGGCACTCTTGCCCATCTTTTCCGTGCAGTCTATTCCCAAAAAGAATTGCAACCAAAGTGATCATTTAAAAATATGTCAGGTCACCTCACATTTCTATATAAAACCCATATAAAACAAATTCCAAAGTCCTACAGGATCTGGCCACTGGCTCCTGCTCTAACCTCATCCCCGACCACTCTCTCTGACCCTTGCTCAATTCCAGCCACTGCCATACCTTGAAATACCAAATCTGCTCTACCTTCCAGCTTTCTGTTTGCTGTTCCCTTTCCTTGAAAAACTCCTCCCCAAGCTCTCACTTTAGACTTGTGCTTAAATGTCAAAGCCTCATACATAGAAGTCTTCTCTGTCCTCCCTTCATCCCTGTCACTTTATATCCCTTTAGCCAAACATGTTTTTCTTCATAGTACCTGTTACTACTTGACATATAACATATCTCTTTGTGTCCTCTCTCCCACCCTAGAATGTAATAATAATAGTAATAGTAGCAATAATAATAATAATAATAATAATACCTAAATAACCATTAAATATTACTAAGAACCAGACAGTCTTCTAAATATTTTATGTCATAATTCATTAAATCTTCACAACAGCCTAATGAGTTAATATTATTATTCCCATTTACAGATCAGAAAAGTGAGGCACAGATATGTTAGGTAACGTACCAATAGTCCAAGTCACACAAATAGTAAGTGGTAAAGCTGGAATTCAAACTCTGGCAGGCAATCCCCAGAAACTACACCCTTAACTACTGCATTCTGCTACTTCAAAGAAAGGTATGAGAGTAGAGCCTTAAACTGTGTTAACCCCTGCTGTAATCATGGTACCTAAAACAGTGTTTGAATCAGTATATGCTGCCAAAAAAATGTTTGCTGAAAGAAGAAAGCAATGAAAATAGAAGAAACAAACACAAGACATATTGATAACTTGTCCTGGTTACATAGTTAGGCATTTACACAACCTTGACTCAAACTTGAGGCTCTTGACTCCTAATCTAGGTTCTTCCCACTCTGCCATGGCATGGATTTTCTCATATTCCTGCCCTCATATAAGCTTTCCAATCTTGTCAGGTCAAATAAAAATTAAAAGTATTCATACTTTTATAGATGAAAATAAAGGACTTAATACGGTTAATTAACTTTCCTAAGGGTGCAGGTAAATAAAATCTCTTCATCAAGTCCTCTATTTCCCAAGCAGTGGTTGTCAAATTTTTGTAAAATGCTAGAGCTTCTTAAAGGTACTTCATGCATTCTACCACTATTATGATAATTTAATTAGCTAGAAGATTAAAATAATATTTTAAAATATATGCCCAGCCAGTGTGGCTCAGTAGTTGAGCAGCAACCCATGAAAGAAGAGGTCACCAGATGAATCCTGGTCAGGGCACATCCCCAGGTTGCAAGCTCCATCCCTAGTAGGGACATGGAGAAGGCAGCCAATGAATGTTTTACCCTAATTGTTGTTCTCTCTGTCCCTTTCCCTTTCTCTCTCTAAAAGCAATAAAAACATATTTTAAAAAATAATAATTTAAAATATGAAGAAATTAACTAAGGAACTCATTCCTAGATTGTTTCTTTTTTTTTATATATTGTAAGTTTGCCTCAGATTATATTAGGAGTAAGAAGAAAAAGAGTTCTACTCAAACAACAAAAATACTATCTTACGTTATAAAAATATTTTTTTAGGTCAAAGAATTCAAAATATTTCCTATTGAATATTTAGTTATTTAAAATCCTAAATACATTCCAATAAAGTATGTCAGTCTACAGCAATGTGTGTGTGTGTGGGGGGGGGGGGGGGGTGCCTCCCCCACATCATCAAACAATTCAACTGAACTCAAGTCTGATGTTATATAGTCAGAGACAGCATCAAATTCTACAGGTTTAGTCTCACAAGACAAGACACCCACCTTTCAGAAGCCAACTGCAAATTCACATTATCACCTGTGCTTCTAACTGTCTATAGACTACAAGTACCACCACCCCTTCCCCTTGAGTCCAGTTAATTTGCTATAGCAGATCACAAAACTCAGAGAAATACAATAGTTTACTTTCTGAATTACCAGTTTATTATGAAAGACTATAACTCGGGAACAGACCAATAGAAGAGATATACATGGCAAGTATATGTTAAGGGGCACAGAACTTCCAGGCCCCTATCCAAGCACACAACTCTACCAGCACCTCTACCTATTCACCAACCCAAAGCTTTCCAAACCTGTCCTCTTGGTTTTTTTATGAAAGCTTTTGCTAGAAGCTATCCATTGTCAACAGGGGACTTGGAAGACTGATGGACCTTGAGCTTTAGCAAGGGCTAAAAGCTATGCACTGACTGTTCTATTGAAACAATGGTGGCACAAACAATTTCCTGACCTAAAAGTCTCAAAGTAAATCTTTACTAATATTTACTGACCTTTAAGATAGTCTGTCTGATACCAGATTGCCTGCCTGGCTAAGGGCAAGATGTGTATTCTAAAATTGAATAAAAGCTAACAGGTTTTGATCCACGATGAAGCCTTTCCACTAGAGAAGGGTTTTCTGCCTAGTCCCCCCCACTGCCTTCTGAATTCATATTTCTTGTCTAGTGTGTTCGTTTGTGTACAGCCTCTTTTCCAAATTCTGAACTCTAGCCACAAAAAGATGCAACATTCACAGGCTTTATTACATAGGCAAGCTTGATAAAATAATTAGCCATTGACAATCCATTCAATCTTCAGCCCCTCTCCGCTCCTTGAAGGTCAGGAGAGGAACACTCTTCACACACGGTTGGTACTCTTGGCAACCAGCCCCAATCCTTAGATGGGGTCCAATAATCATTTCATCAACATAACAAAAGACATCTTTTATCACTCTCACTAAATTAAATGGAAGTGCACAACTTTCTGATTGAAGCCAGTTGTTTCATTAAAATTGGCTCATTTTCCTTACAAGCTAATATTCATTACAGAGTAAGGGAGGATATTCCCGTTTTAAATGAAAAGCTAGCACTGGCTGGTGTGGCTCAGATGGCTAAGTAAAATCTCATGTACTAAAAGGTTGTCCATTGTATTCCTGGTCAGGACACATGCCCAGGTTGCTAGTTCTATCCCAGGTAGGAGGTATGCAGGAGGCTACCTATCAAGGTTTCATTATCCCATTGATATTTATCTTTCTCTCCTCTTCCTTCCCCTCTCTCTAAAAATCAATTAAAAATCTAAATAAATAAATAGCTATATGCATATCAATGTATGTTAAGTGGCTAATAACCAAAGTGTATTTAAGAAAGCACAAGTAGTGCTTGCTTCGGCAGCACATATACTAAAAAAAGAAAGCACAAGTATGTGGCTTTGAAATTCCACAAGAATACATTAGCCCCATAGCCTAAATTTGAATCTTGTGAAACTCCTAATAAATCAGAAAAAATTCTTTTATGGTATCCTTAACTTGGCATGCTTATCTCTACTTAAAGTTTTGGTTTTCCTTTTGTTTCTACCAACATATTAACGTATCTTCTAAAATGAAATAAATTAGTTAAAAAAATAAACAAAACTGTTTGGAAAAGAATAAGTCAAATCCATTTCTATTGTGAATAAAGTTGTCCCAACAGTATTAAATATTGGGACTCACCATTGTGATAGAAAAGAAATTCTGCTTTAAAAAAAAAAAAAAAATGAGAGAAGAATTTTGTTAAGTTTTACAAAAGATCTGTCAAACAGGAGAGAAGAAAAGTGATACCTGTACTTACTGTCGTTGGATCCCATGCTAATGAGCTCATCAGAATCAACGTTGTGAACTATGGCTGCTTTGTATCCTGCTCTCTGTGCATTTAAAACCTGCAAGTCAGAAAACAGTAATGATATGAAGAAGAATGTGACAAAGCACTAAGTCCCTCAGCTTTGATAAACATAGTCAACAAGTCTATACCATATTCTGGGGCTTCTTTTATCTATAACGATAAAAGCATAATATGCTAATTAGACTGGACAGCTGAATGATTCTGGACATCATTCTGGATGTCCTTCCGGATAAGCCATGACGGCAGGAGCCGAGGCAGAGGTAGTTAGGGGTGATCAGGCAGGCAGATAGAGTGGTTAGGGGCGATCGGGCAGGCAAGTAAAGTGGTTAGGGGCAATCAGGCAGGCATGCAGAGTGGTTAGGGGTGATCAGGCAGGCAGAGTGGTTAGGGGCAATTAGACAGGCAGGTGAGTGTTAAGGGGCAATCAGGCAGGCAGGTAAAGTGGTTAGGGGCAATCAGGCAGGCATGCAGAGTGGTTAGGGATGATCAGGCAGGCAGAATGGTTAGGGGCAATCAGGCAGGCAGGTAAGTGATTAGGAGTTAGCGGTCCTGGATTGGGAGAGGGTACAGGCTGGGCTGAGGGACCCCTCTCCCCCGTACATGAATTTCATGCACCAGACTTCCAGTGTATTTATAACAGATCTCAAGTGTACTCTTGAAACACAAATAAATGTTCTACATTGATTATCAAGGACTTATTTAGATATCTTTTTCATTTCACTCAGGGTGTTAGTAAAATAAGAAGCAAATAAAGGATAGGAATACAAGCTATTGTAAAATACTAAAATGATCCAAAGCAATAAACTCATCCAGCTCTAAAGAGATAAAGATTTACTGTGATCAAGCTGGGGTCATTGGCTCTTGGGAACTCAAATCTGCCGCCAACACTTTTAGTGGGATAAATTTGAGCAAATTATTTTTCTGCCTTATTTCTCAGTTTGCCCAATTTTAAAATGAGAATGACAATATTTTTCTTATGTAAAATATTAAAATGGTGAATAGAATACTATGGCTAAGCCATACCATGAAGACAGAAGAGAATCAGTCTAGAGATTGACACTGACAACGCCTTGCTATACTAGAAGACAGGAGCTGTGCGTCGCTGAAGGATGCCCAGGACCAAACCAGAGAGGGTCGGACTACATCAACACCATTTGTCAACCAACCAGATCTGAAATATCATGGCTGACATGTACACATAAGGAACTGTTTGACATTAAAATTGGGACTCAAAAGAACTGTTGGCCAGAAAGGAACTCACTACAGACTGATTCATTTTCCTCTCAGCATAACCATTATAGCTTGTCTCAGTTTCGGTCCTTAAAAGGAATTCCTTGTATCACATGATCTAACGCATCTAAGGGAAATAATGAACAACATAAATTGATGAACAGAAACAGACCTGGAGACAGAGAAGCAGTGATCAAACTCAGAGGGAAGATAGGGGAGGGTGGGGGCAAAGGGGAAAGATCAAACAAAGGACTTGTGTGCATTCATATAAGCCTAACCAGTGGTCATGGATAACAGGGGGTGGGCATACGTAGGGAGGGATTTGGGATGGGAATGGGGGGATGAAAACAATTATGTGATACCATAACCAATAAAGAAATTTTAAAAAAATAAAAAAAAATTTAAATTTTTAAAAAGAATACTATGGCTAACACATAGAAGTAAGTCATATAAAAGCTATTTTTATTAGCTTCATCATCAACCATGTTCTTTAAAATTCATTTCTAAAACTTTGAAAAAATGAAAAATAATCCAGCCTACACTTGCTTGCTTTGATTCTATCTACAATAGCTATTTAATCTTTCCTAAAGCTAGTCTTTAAGAGAAATTTTTGCATTATAAGAATATCGCTAGATATGTGACAAAATTATCTTACCTGAAAGATCTAAAAAGTAACCAAACATATTACTATACTTCACTTTAAAAATAACATTGTCTTGAATATAATAAACCCAAACCTAAGCTACTAAGCTACTTAGTATATAACCTTTGGACCATTGATTAAAAAAAAAAAAGATAAAAACTGGGTAGTCAATATACATAAACATATACACAAACATAAATCATATATATATATATATATATATATATATATATATATAATAAAATTTTAAAACTTTGAAAGCTATATATATATAGTCCTGGGTACTTAACATGGTAGGAAACTTTTAAAATATATCATCTTATGATCACTATATAGTGATAAGTCTCTCAAAATGTTTCTTTATAGTACTTAGGTCTACTATTGGTTCAGTTTTAGCTATCAGCATTATAATGATTCAAAACTCTACTGTAATTCGCGGAGGACGGTTTGGCTCAGTGGATAGAGTATCAGCCTGCGGACTGAAAGGTCCCAGGTTCCATTCCGGTCAAGGGCATGTACCTTGGTTGCGGGCACATCCCCAGTAGGGGGTGTGCAGGAGGCAGCTGATCGATGATTCTCTCTCATCGATGTTCCTGACTCTCTATCCCTCTCTCTTCCTCTCTGTAAAAAATCAATAAAATATATTTTTTTTTAAAAAACTCTACTGTAATTCAATAACAATAAAACCTGAATCAAATTCCAAAGTGTAAGGCAATGCTCAAAGAATCAGGTTCCCAAGAGTAAAGGAAAAGCCAGCCAGGTATAGACAGAATCTGGATTTTAATGCTAGGTAAGGAGTGAGGCTCATGGACTCAACCCCAATCAGGAAGGTTGGCTTTGCACAGTTAAAATTCTCTTCTACAATTATAATTCTTGACTTCTCTAAAACTACTCTACACATAAAAATTGGGTTTCTGAAAGAGACAATAATGTGGATTAATCAGAATAAATTTATCCTATCACTGAGAAAAACTAAACTGTCAAACTAAGAGTTCCTCAAAAATTAATATTGTTCATTTTTACAGCTTCTATTACATCTATGAAATAGCCAGATGCAGAGTAGGAACTCATTAAATATTACTTGAATGAATAAATGTATAAAATATGTTATCAAAGGTATAGCTAACATTATAATAGAGGTCTATGTACAAACCTGGAACAAGAATGGGCCTTCTTTCCCCTGGCTGCTGGCACTGCCTATGCTTCAGCCAGAGCCGCCTTTCTACCTTCACTCTGGCCTGGAGCCACTTTTCCGCCTTCCCATGTTGCCCAGAGGCCCAGAGTGACAACAACGCAGTGAATACAGGACTTAAATATAAGACGGGAAACCATAAAAATACGATACTAGAGCCATCCACAGGCAGCAAAATCTCAGACATATGCCAAAAAAACTTCTTCACTGACACTGGCCCTAGAGCAATGGAAACTAAAGAGAAAATAAACAAATGGGACTACATCAAAATAAAAAGCTTTTTTACAGCAAAAGAAACCATCAACAAGAGAACATATTTGCAAATCTTATCACTGATAAAGGTTTAATCTCCAACATCTACAGACAATTTATACAGCTTAATAAAAGGAAGATAAATGACCAAATTAAAAAATGGGCAATGAATCTAAATAGAATCTTCTCAAAAGACAGAAAGAAGACCAAGAGGCACATGAAAACATGTTCAAAGTCACTAATTATCCAAGAGATGCAAATAAAAGCGACAATGCAGTACCATCTCACACCTGTCTGAATGGCTATCATCAACAAATTAGCAAAGGCCAAGTGCTGGCGAGGATGCAGAGAAAAAGGAACTGTGATGGGAATGCAGACTGGTGCAGCCACTATGGAGAACAGTATGGAGTTTTCCTCAAAAAACTGAAAATGGAACTCCCATTTGACCCAGTAATCCCACTCCAAGGAATATATCCCAAGAAACTAGAAATACCAATCAAAAGGATATATGCACCCCTATGTTCATAGCAGCACAATCTATAATAGCTAGGATTTGGAAACAGCCTAGGTGCCCATCAGCAGATGATTGGATCAAAAAACTTTGGTACATCTAAACAATGGAACATTATGCTACCATAAAAAGAAGGAATAATTATCATTTGTAGCAACCTGGATGGAATTGGAGAATATCATGCTGAGTGAAATAAGCCAGTCAATGAAAGAAAACCACCACATGATCTCACTCATTTGTGGATAATAAAGAACATTATAAACTGATGAACAAAAAGATAGATACAGAAGACAGTAAAGAAACAGACTGTGAAATTACAGTGGGGAAGGTAGGGAGATATGGGGGGAGATAAGAGATCAACTGAAGGACTTGTATGCATGCATATAAGCAAAACTAATGGACAAAAAATTCTGGGGACGGAAGGCATGTATGGGAGTGGGGGAGGGGATTGGTAAGGTATGGACACATATAATACCTTAATAACTGCCCTTCCCTGCTGGCTTGGTCACCCCCAACTGCCCTCCCTGCAGGCCTGGTCACCCTGAACTGCCCTCCCCTGCTGGCCTAATCCCCAAAAACTGCCCTCTCTTGCCAGCCTGGTCACCCCCAACTTCCCTCCCCTGTAGGCCTCGTCTCCCCCCTCCCCACCCAACTGCCCTCAACTGATGGCCATCTTGTGGTGGCCATCTTGTGTCCATATGGGGGTGGCCATCTTATGTGTTGGAGTGATGATCAATTTGCATAGTACCTCTTTATTATATAGGATTGCTTTAATAAGTTTACTGTGGAGGTGTTATTTCTTTCATGAGTAAAGACAAAATTCAGGCATAGTCCAAAAACAGATTTGTAAAAACAGTATTAAAAGTATCATAAAACCACATCTCGCCTAAACCGGTTTGGCTCAGCTGTAGAGTGTCGTCAGTCTGCAGACTGAAAGGTCCCAGGTCCGACTCCGGTCAAGGGCATGTACATTGGTTGCGGGCACATCCCCGGTAGGGGGTATGCAAGAGGCAGCTGGTCAATGTTTCTCTCTCATCGACGTTTCTAGCTCTCTCTCTCTCTCCCTTTCTCTCTGTAAGAAAAATCAATAAAATATATTAAAAAAAAAAAAAAAAAAAAAACAACACATCTCTAGAGTAGCACTGATGATAGTGAGGGAAGTTCTATGACAAACTATTTCACTATCTGAAATGCCAGCTTAATCCACTCTGGGGAGACAAATTTTGTTCAGGTAACAGAATCAGCTTTATTACACTGAGAAATCCCAATGACAACAGATACAGATATAGGTGTAGCGGAAGGGTAAAGACATAAAATTAAAGGTTAAGATTTCCATTCCTAGATTAGATCAAGCAAGATTCAACTATTCACCAATAGTTCAAAGACACAACAACCACGTGGAAATTCTTAGAACAATAATAATTATTTATATCCTAGTCAATTTGTTTGCTTTCAATCTTACTAAAACTGTGAATCATGAAACCGATGGTGGCTTCCTCTTTGTACTGGCTGCTAAAAGGTTAGAATAAATTCTGTAGCAAATGAATGGCTTACATAAACTTGCTCCTGTATTTTTGCCTTTACTATCTCATTTTCCTTTTGTCCTCACTTTTTTCATTTTTAAACCTGAATGAATTATGTAAACTTACTTAAATCCTTTCTGAAACAAGTGTGTACCTAAGATACTAATTAAGAAACAGAAACAAAAAATTAAAAAGCAAACATTACCTTTATATCAAAATTACAATCAAGTCTTCTAATTAACACGATGAAAGTGCCAGATGAATTGTCTTTTAGAGGTGGAGGCACTATGGGTTCACAGGCATTCTCTGGTTTTGAGTTAATCAAAAAACCCTGAAAAAGAATTGGTAGTTAATTTTTTTCTCTGTTAAACAAATAAAAACAAAAAACAAAAAAATTCAACTTGTTTCTAAAAACATGTTTTGAATTTGTTTCATGTGTTTTGCATTATGCTAGATGAATTATCTGGCAATACAATAGTTCCTATCCCCCAACTGCTCATAATCCCAGAACTTTTAAGTAGTGTTTGGTTTCATAAGCATTTAGATTTTTAAAGTAAATTCTGTTTTTGCTATTAATATTTTTTTAAATGTCACGAAAAAGCCCATTACCTCAAGACAAATACTTTTAGCATCTTGGTATATTTCAAAACAATTATTGGCATTTCTAAAACAAGCAAATACTTTTTTCAAATTAACTTTTTGTATAGTCTCAATCATTTATTGATTTATGTAAAATTAACTCAAATTTATTTTATGTTATCAAACAATGAAAATGCACAGAATTTCTAGAAATTTAGTCTATAGAAACACTAGCCATATGTAGAAAAATGGCCCCTGCTACATTTTTAATAGCAAAAACTTGAAAACATGCACATCAATAAGGCAGGCATTTAAAAATTATAATATATTCACACAACAAAAAATAATGAAGTCATTAAAAAGGATGAGGTAAATCTATATACATTAAATTGGAAAGATGTCCACAAGATAATTAACTTAAAAAGAAAATAGCAAGTTGCTTTCCCAGAACTATAAGAAGGTTTAACATCAGAAAATGTATTAAAAAGTAACATTGTTGCCGAAGCCGGTTTGGCTCAGTGGTAGAGAGTCGGTCTGCGGACTGAAAGGTCCAAAGTTCGATTCCGGTCAAGGGCATGCACATTGGTTGCGGGCACATCCCCAGTAGGAGGTGTGCAAGAGGCAGCAGGCTGATGTTTCTCTCTCATCGACATTTCTAGCTCTCTATCTCTCTCCCTTCCTCTCTGTTAAAAATCAATAAAATATATATTTTTTTAAAGTAACATTGTTATAATAAATATGTTATTAATATTAAATGTTACATTATATGTATATTAATAAATGTTTGATACATAGAAATGTTAAATTAATAGGTTAAAACAGAAAAACCAAATGTCTATGTCAATAGATATAAAACACTGACTAAATGCATAAAAATTATCAAATTCATTAAATCCACTTATAAAAAGAAATGAGGCAATTAAGCCTATAACACATTGCTTGAATTAAAATCTCTATGGTCTAGCAGTCACACCAACCATCCTATTCCACAGAATTTGGTAATTCCTCCTGCCTTGGTTAGCTTGTGCTAGGGAATGCTTTTGCACATTTCAGGAATAAAATGTAGCATACCTTTATTTACTCATGGAATAGTTGCCCTTCTTGATTCCATAAAGCATTTGGTTTTTGCTAGAATTGTGGTTATCATTCCAATGAATATTTAGTTCACTCATGTTAAATTTACAGCCTTTTCTGCACCTTTATGCACACAAACTTTTTGCTATAATGCCAAATCACATAGTACATGCAGTTCTTTTCAAAATATTTGTAAAGCAATTAAAATGAATCTGTACTATTAAGACATATAACTAAACTAAAGTGAAGAACATGAGCAGCTACTGCCAAATTCCCTGGTGATGACAGGTCTATCATGACTGCCACCTGATGGATATTAATTGAAAGACTTCCCAATGTCAGAGATGTAAAACATGGGTAAGAAAATGTGGGTTTTTTTTAACCCTCCTCTAAGGATATGTTGGTTTTTATATTGTTTTCAGAGGGAGAAAGGGAGGAAGAAAAGGGGAGGGTGGGAAGAGTGACAGAGACAGAGACAGAAACAGAGACAGAGACAGAGACAGAGAGAGAGAGAGAGAGAGAGAGAGAGAGAGAGAGAGAGAGAGAAACACCCATGTGAGAAAGTTGCCTCCCACTGATACCCTGACTGAGGATACAATCCGAAACCTAGGTATGTGTCTGGACCAGAAGTCAAACCCATAACCTTTTGGTGTAAAAGGTCAACATTCCAACCAATTGAGCTATTGGGCCAGGGCTGAAATGCATCTTAGAATAAATTTATGATATGTACAGACAAAAAAAAAAAGGGGGGGGGGGGGCTACAAGTGTAACTTTAATAAGGTCTTTGCTTTTGCCCAAGCACACTCAATGGTTAAGTGTCCACCCATGTACCAGGAGGTCGCAGGTGCGATTCCGGTCAGGGCACATGCCCAGGTTGCAGGATCAATCCCCAGTGTGTGTGGGGGGAGGAGGATGCAGAAGGCAGCCTATTAATGTTGATGTTTCTATCTCTCCCTCTTCCTTCCTCTTCCTCAAATCTATAAAGATTTTTTTTCTTAAAAAAAAAAAGGTATTTGCTTTAAATCATTTCTATACTGTTGAATGTGTTATGACAAGCATGTATTATTTTTTAATTTTATTATTTTTTAATCCTCAAGAATATGTTTTTACTTATTTATTTATTTATTTATTTATTTATTTTTGTTTTATAGAAAGAGAGGAAGGAAGAGAGAGAAGCATCTATATTAAAGGGAAGCATCGATCAGCCACTTCATGTATGCACACTGGCCAGGGAACAAACCCACAACATAGATATCTGCCCTGAGTAGGAATTGAACCCACAACCTTTTGGTGTATAGGATAGTGCTCCAACCAACTGAGCCACCGAGTCAGGGCAGCCTGTATTATTTTCAAACCTAAAATTTATAAAAATACACATATGCTAAAAGTACAAAAAACTACTAGCATTAGTGAAAAATTGAATTCTTAAAAAACTCTTAAATTATTAAACATATCTTTCCTGATGATTGTGCTAAAAAAAAAAAAAAAAAGAATAACTTCCTAAAATAGTTCCTATTCTCCCCTCAGAGGTGAGTCACTTAAAACTAATGCAAATTTACTTTCTTTGATCCATGAAGTCTCTGAGGTAGGGTAATAATGAGTTCTGCCAATTAATTGGCAGAAGTTCTTTACTAGTAAATAGGAGTGGCCAAGAAAATGCTGCCTGAAGCCAGGTCCACATGTCTAAAGTCACCCTCTAGGGCCAATCCCTTTCAAAAGGATGCTTGCTCCACAATTAAGAACCCTCCTCATCTCTGTCTTCTGAAGGGGGTCCTTTATGCCAATACATAGGAAACCCAAGAAAACTACCAATGCCTACGATACTAAGAAACTGGATGCCCGCTTTTCTTCTCTTTGCTATTGTAATTCTGTGATGATTAAACGAGATTCTGGACAAAAACAGTGCGTGTATAGTGGCACCTCAATTATCATCAAATGCATAATGCAGTAAATTTACAGTATATTAATATGTTGACTTTTATAAAGCTTTTATGACTATACAGCAAAGCTTTTATGACTATAAAGCAAAGTGCACAAAATATAATTTTTCAGCTTGATGCATTTTCTGACATACCTGTATCAGGACATAAAACATGAACAGCACTCCAGAAGTTCCCTTCATCCTCCCTGCCATTCATTCACTGCTCCCCAACCCAATCTCTCTCTCTCTCTCTCTCTCTCTCTCTCTCTCTCTTTCTCTCTCTCTCTCTCTTCCCCCTCCCTCCTACTCTGTCTAAAATCAATGGGGAAATATTATTGGGTGGTGGGGTTTTTTTGTTTTGTTTTTTTTAAGTAAAAGCAGGGCCAGTAAGTGTTGCTCAGTGGTTGAGCGTCGACCTATGAACCAGGAGATCACAGTTAGTTTCTGGGTCTCAGTGCATGCCCGGGTTGCAGGCTCAATCCCAATTAGAGGGTGTGCAGAAGGCAGCCAATTGATGATTCTCTCATCCTTGATGTTTCTACTTCCTCTCTGAAATCAATGAAAACATATTTAAAAAAAAAAAAAAAAAAAAAAAAGGAAGAAGAGAAGAAGTGAAAAATTGGTGTTTCAGTGAATACCCAAAGTTATGAATTAATAACTGCAGTAACATCAAACAATTAACATTTGCTGAGCCAAGGCACTCAGTACTGTGTCAAGCAGTATGCCCTTTAAATGTTCTAACTCGGTTCATCTTTGCAACCTTATGAGATAACTACTATTATTATTATCATCCCTATTTTAAAGTTGAGAAATCATCTAAGTTTCAAAAAAAGTAACTTGCCCAAGGTTACATATAATGCAATCCCCAGAAATTTTGACTCCAGATGCTATGTTCTCAACCACTATGCTATATTACCTCCACAAGATTAAAAAAAAAAAAAAAAAAAAAAGTGGATAAAGAGCAAAATGGACAACAAGAAGAGGAATGGACATTTACAACAATGAACAAGCAAAAATATTAGTCGAAAGGGAACTTAAGGCTGATTCCAAAATTTGATACAAATACTTCAAATGATGTGGATGTCAATCTTACGCCCTGGGCAGGTGGGTAGTTCAGTTGTTAAAGCGTCATTCCATATACCAAAGATTATGGGTTTGATTCCTGCCCAATCAGGGCACATATCTTGGTTGTGGGTTTGATCCCTGGTTAGGTGTGTATGGGAGGCAACCAACTGATGTTTTACTCTCTCCCTCACCTTTCTTCTCTCTGTAAAATCAATAAAAACATATCCTCAGGTGAGGATTTTAAAAAAAGATATCAACCTTTCTGTCATAATTTTTACATTCAATCCAAGACCAAGAGTTATACTGGTCAATCAGATGTTATCAGCTATCATTTTCCTACTGTGAGACAGATGATTTTATTTATTTTTTGAGTGTTTAATTCAAATCTATTATACATTAGTTGTTTCTAAAATGTTGATCCACAGACCAACATTGTTACACGTGTGTACCAACAAAAACAAAACGCAGAGAATCACTGCCATCTCTATAAAAGGAATGGCTCCTTTTCTAACATTCTTTAAAAATATGCATTGTCCAGTCTTTGCACCTCACCAAAAGTGGCAATGTAATAAATACATTGGCTTAGTTCTCTTGCCTGTTCGGCAAGGTCCACCAACTACCTGTTATATGCCATCTTCCTTTTGGATTTCTCCAGGGCTTTGTCCATGGTTTTCTTGTTCTCCCTCAACTTC